ATAATAAGCAATTTGTCCCTTCTGACAGACAAAGAAGAAATAGAAAGCAAATGTAACCTCTCCTCAAAGCTCATCTGTCCTCGATGTTGTTTAAGAGCAAGACGAGTTGCTCTTCTATGCACTCCCTCAAGCAGATCTGACAAAGTTTTAGTCCATGGAAACCAGGCGGGTTGAGCATACTCCAGGCCTGGCAATACCAGGCTTTTGTAGAGAGACAAAAATGCACTGGTCGAAGCATGTCCAGCCACGCTCCAAACAAAACCAAGCATACGCTTAGCTTTGGAAACAATGGCATGGACATGGTCCTCCCAGGTCAATTTTGAGTTGAAAGTAACACCAAGGTATTTAATATCAAAGAAATAATCATTTATAAAGATTCAGACGTTGTATATCAAGTATACGATTGCATAAAATGGACATTAAAAAGCTATTATTGAAAACCTTACTGTGATATGCCGTATGGTCGCACATTAACTGAGCCAGCTGTAAGTATCACCACTCGTTCCTCTGTAAGTAGAAACGTACAATGTTAGGCACTGTGGTGATAATGATAATAATATGTTTAATGAAATATGATAAAAATCGAATAGGCTTATATAATAATCAATATTATTTTTAATATACGCTATAACTATTTATGATAATTAGAGTATCTCATTATTATCAATACATATGTTATACTTATTTGTCGCTTGTTATAACAAATATATAATTTTTAACTCTATATATTAATTTATTCCAAAAAATATAATAACATATAATTATTGATAATTGATAATTTTTAATAATTAATATAATGAATATATATATATATATATATATATATATATCAAAATATGTAATAATTTATAATATATAATTTATATATTATATAAATTATATTATAATAATATTTGATAAACTACATAGTAAAATAAATAATTTATTATCAATTATAATTTATGTAAGCCTATTAATATATTATCATTATCATATATTATAGACCCACCTGCTCGATGTGTCGACTCATTCTTTTGGAACGCTAATAAAACAGAGGGCGCTACTGAACCAGCGCCAATTGATGTCTCAAATGTTGTTTGGTTTATCTCGAGGCGAACAGCAATGATATCTGTTGCAAATTAATGTATTAACTTTACACAGTCAGTAAACAGAATAATTATTTTTGTATATTAAGAAAGATTTACTATTATAGAATAATAATAATAATAATAATAATAAAAATAATAATAATATTAATATTAATCTCAATTTTTATATAAAGAAACACTTCTATTAGGCCTATTGGTGAGGATGGGGGAAAGCAAATAATATTCAGCTGCCCAAAAACGTAATCAACATTAATTATTTAAAATACTACGTTCACTATAAAAATAAAGAAAAATATTAGAAAAAAACAAAGATTTGTGAATGTTGCAATAATTTTGTCTTCGGAAAGAGAATCTTCAAGTTAAGTAAAGAATATACTGATTCCACGTTCCTCTAAATTAATTGAGTATAGAATTAGAAAAGAAAAGGAGACGATAAAAGTTAGAACATTAAGAAATAATGTGGGTGGCTCCGCTCTATAAGATGTGTATAAGAGACAGAAAGAATGCAGTACAAAATCAAATTAATGTAATTATCAATAAATTTATTTCATTACTATAACTTATCGACAGTAACTATAAAAAATATGTATTGTATGGTGTTTTGTATTTTTTGCTGCTTTATTTTTTTAGTATATATATTGTAAAATCATGGACCTATTATTATAGGGCCATGGTAAAATTATGTGATTTCAAAAGGATACGCTTAATGAATTGTTTATCTGACATAAGATATTTGAGGGCCTTTTTTTTTCTTGTTTTATTTATTTTCTTGTATTTTACCTCTTTATTGGTTTCGTTGATCTTGAACTCATTTTTCTGTTTGCACTGTAATTTTTTTAATGTTTATATTTCTGTGAAAATATATCTCATTGGAAGAAATAGAAACACTCATATACTGAATACTTAGAAAGAAAATTAACTTTTTACGACCAGCGGTTGGCAAGATACGGATGCCCTATATTTTCCGACCTAATTTTTATAATTAAGATAATTTGCATATTATAGGGGCATGCGATCGAGGTATACTTTCTGGAATTCACTTTTTTCAAGTTCTCAAAATGTTTTTAAACACATTTGTTTGTTATTTCTTCCGTAACTATGATTACTGAAAAAATATGGCGACTATATTTAAATGTTTGAGTGCCATAAACGAGGGAGATTCAAAATTGTTGCTAACTACAATATACCATTACACCATGTTTTCCAGTATTTGACCTTAAATCAAATTTGACCTGAAACAACATGAAAACTGTCACATCTGGAAAACTTCTCCATTTAGAAAAGGACTTTCCCAATGTTCGCACGCTTCATAGATTAACCGATGAAAATGTCACAAAATGCACGGTTTGGCCATTTTTTGGGGGTCTTAGCTCGTACGTTCGAAACTAAGGAAAATTATTACACTGTTGTGGGCGTAGATGGCATGTTTTGTTGTTACATTTTTTTGGCGCTGTTTGTTACATTTTTGGGCATTATTACATTTGTGGGCGGTGTGTTATTATATTTGTGGTTGTTATTACATTTGTGAATGTTTTCACATTTGTGAGTTCAATATCCCCGCCCCCTACTTTCCACAACGGATCGACAACCTAGGTGTGCGTACGACGCTGTCTGAGTTGGGCCTAATGAGGCGACGCGGTATGATTTTAATTTTAATGATGAATACGACCAGTCAGCCACCAACAAGCAGCAGACGACGTCACCTCGTCAAACGGCGTACGAGAGAAACCAAGATAGATATATATTATATTTATTCTATGTTATGAACTTGTTTACATTTTACGAGTTGTCTGTTGCTTCTTTACTAATGACGTCTCCATCTCTCCGCAACCCCCACCCCCACCAACAATGCTCCCAACAAACAATGCTCCCCCAAAAATGCTCCCCACACAGTCGCACCGCTCTATTGAAAAATCACGCTAAAGTAATAAAAATCACTTTATTTTGCGACTAGTGACCCCTCACTTAGTCATCGAGAGCCCACCACTCCACCTTCCCCCATCAGACTCCCCCATGTGAAGACTCCACTGCAACTAGCTTATATTGTTATGCTTACCTTTGCTATCATCGTCATCATGATCATGATCATCATTTGTCTGCTCTATACCCCCAACAAAATGTAATAACTCTGTTTCATTGTCTTTACTACTCCAATATCAAGGTCATTTTCACTGCCATAATCATAATTAGTCGTAGATACCTCCTTGGTCGTAGTCTGTTGTATTGCTGGATCGTCAATGATTTCCGAGCCATAAACGCTACCAGCTGGAGGTTCATAAACAGGTCTACCACATCTACCTGTAAATATTTAAAAAATGAAATATTAAACCCAGGAATGTTTATTGATAATCCAAACTTTAATAGAAAATATGCGTAAGATTATACTGTAAATGATAAGTGACTGAATAGAATGTATCGTCTCATTTATATAAAGCAGTTTAGCTAATAACTAAACAAAAGAGCTAACAGACTTATCCCCATATTTTATTTCATTCTAACCTTTTCTTTGATTATGTATTTCACTGTAGGCTTCCTAAAGACGATCCAAAGTAGAATGCCAGAAAAAAAAAATAATGGTGCACAAACATTAACTTGCATCTTCGGTTTGCAAAATATTACTTTTAGATAAAATACGTTCAAAAGGCATTGTGGGTACACGGAGAGCAATTCTACTGCAACCGCGCGGCGGCGCTATATAAAAATAATAAGCTCTTGTTCGCTTGTTTCCTTTATTTTCTCCACTTAGTAAAATGTTCAAATTTTACTGCAACCGCAGGAGGGCGAATGTTCCATCGATTTTAATGCAAATACGTGGAGCAGCTCATTCTCCCTCCAATTAAAGACCACCTCCAATTAAATACCTCCATATGCGTTCCAAGTAAATACCTAATTTTTATCTTTAAAACAATATTTTTTTTTTAAATTGACCAGGAAAACCCTAGTCTCAATAGTGGTATTTAATGATTAGTGTATTTCGTATTGTTTTATAATCCATTTTTGCTAACCTTCCAATTAGTTTCCAGTTACTAAGATATATGACCACGTGAAACTTGGAAGTTTATAGGTCAAGCACGATTTCCTTGATTATAACACATTCTGAATGGTCAGATGTTACCTTTGATTGACAGTTGTATAATTTTGTAAAAACAGCGAATGCGATGCTACTTCTTATGTGAGAGCCTTATATATTTTGTATCCTCATTTCTGAGCTTTCATTGAATTACGGTCTGTTTATTGCTAGAGTAACTGCGCAACATCAAACATTACTCCACTAGTTCTATACTGTACAATGCATTTTTTTTTCTTTTCATCTTCATCTATCAATAACAATTACATTAATTTTTCATTTGTGTTAAAACGTTTATAAATAGCGCAATTCCTTTTAAACGGAAGTGATATCCTTTTTAACGAAATGGCGTCTATAAGCAAATTTATGATGAAAACCGAGAGTTCTCGTAATTCTAACTTTATAATTAAACCTCTATGCATTTGTTACATTTTAACATGCGTTGAAATAACAGAGTCACGAAAGGAAATGTATACTAAATGTTAATTCTTTATTGAAGTATGAATTTATTGCATTGAAGAAAATTTATTGATCGGTATATACACATTAATTTTAGACCAGAATTATATATACATTATTTGCATCACAACAATTATATACAAAAATATTATTCTGTCAATATTTGTTCAGATAATGTTGAACAATTGTCAACTCAATACTCAAATCAAGTATAAACAATGAGCCCGATTCAAAACACACCCTTCAAAACCCGATACACACACAGAAAGAGTACCGTACTCTCTAAATATATGTGGAAATTAAAAGACAACAATACACCATATATACTGTCTCTTATACACATCTAGACTTATATATATATTTATATATACAATATATAAGTATATATATATATATATACATATACATACATATGCATGCATACAATGCACACACATGCACCCCCACATACATTCAGCATACACCTAAAGCAAACTACATACATAATGCAACATACTTAAATAAATACGTAGTACTTTCAATTACCTCCGCAAGAAATTATAATGAAATCGATCAGTGACAGCCGGCTGATAACTCAGACGATCATTCTCCGTCACAATCAGATACATGGATTCAAACCCAGCTGATACCAGTTGTTTTCTTTATTAAAACCACTCTGCGACCAAGTTCAGGCCTGCGACCAAGTTCAGGCCTACGCCTTATGCATAGCCAGGTTTTCCATAAAATGCTAAGCTTCCTCTCGTTCGTTTCGGTAGCAATTTTATGAAAACCGTAAAGCATGTCTACTTGATTTAGGGCCTACATTACATGTGTCGGAAACAAATCAGGGATATATTCAAATAAATTGATGCGAAAACAACTCTAATATTTAAATTAGCTCATGAAAAAAAGCATACTTTAAAACATAAATATTTTAAATAACAACTGTGATAAAAGTTGAACATTTATTTACAGCTAGTTAACACCATTACCACTTGCACAGAATTCCCTATTGCTCACTTATTTATTATCTTTTGATAAAAGGTGTATCACGTCATTGTATTCTTCAACACAATATATAGCATAACAATATTAATACCATAATTGTATATCTTGCCGTATAGGGCGTTTTCGCTAAAGAACAATCCCAGCACTAAATGTTCAACATGAATTATGCATGAACCTTTAAAATTATTAAATTAAGTTCCGGGTCCGTATGCATTAATAATATGCTTAATTATTATATTATTTTTAGAATTAGCGAGGAAGCCTATATAGGCTTATCATTATATCATAAGCCATATTTTAATTCTATCGTTAAATGGCGACAGAATCTTTGTCAAAACAAAATAAACATTAATCATTTTTTAAGAAATATGGTTCTCAAACAATTAGGCCATCCAATTTATTTGGCCACTATACAGACCCGAGTAGGCCTACATATAAACTTAATACAACCTGGTGCTGAATAAGAATAACATAGAATATAAATAAACACGAACTTAATGCATTTTGTGCTGTAGTGACGTCGAACTTGCATTACTGTATGGAAATGAAAGAAATATGTAATTGTGCGAGATAACTTTAAATCTATTTTTGCGATGATAAATTCACTATAAATTATATGATACGAAAGTTAAGTTACCAAAATTGACGATCTAAAACATGTAGGCCTATTTATGAATTATAGAATTTATTGCATTTTTAACGACCTTCACTTATTTATTACACACTCCTCCTGAATCAAATACTCATAACCAGTAATAATTATGTTGGTGCTTTACTCATACAGCTCACGTACATGCGCACTTATTACTGCTCAGACTACAGAGTACCTAATAAAATAAGACCGCGGCATAATGTGCTCCTGCCTTGGCTAGAGCATGGAAGTTTATACCTCCATGGCTAGAGTAGCTAAACATTCTGTGTTTTAAGTGCGGCTCAACTCGGCTACAAGATAGTACAAACACTGGACTTCGCAGTGTTGCTGATGGTTGGTAATTTCGAATGTTTCTTCCTACTACCTGTTGGTTTCCCATTTTCGTCGGCGTATCCCTTTGGTGTAAATGGCGCTTTTTGTGGAATCTTAAGCTTAACATCTGTCGACTGTCCCTGACAGCCCACTAACTCAAGTGCTTCGTGAGGCTGCATAAACCAGATCAGTTCCTCAGATACACCACTCGACTCAATAGTGCAGTAGTCAGTCACTGTAACCTCCTAAGAAATTGAAAGTTATATTGCTAATTTATCAATATGAAATACAGATCGAAAGAAATTAGGTTTTTTTCTGATTTACAAAATTATATGGTATAAGCAAACTCAGGTCGCTGTATACAGCACAAAAAACCCATCATAAACGCATCTTTTCAATGAGCATGGTAAAGTAATACGAAATATAGCATTGATTATTTAAAGTATAAAACTAATTATAGAGTATAAAAGCCTATGTGATTTGTACAAAAGATAGTATATTACATACATGTGATTTTGAGACTGCACCCCTATAAACTTTTCTTGCATATGACAGGTATTTTTGGAACTACAGAAAAAAAAAATACACATATTATGTAAAATCATATAAAAGTTTTTTGAACTAACTTAAGACGTCTTTATAAGTAAAGGCCGAAGCAGTTTCAATGTGTTTCTGTCATGACAGTGACGTGACGAGCCGTCACCCGGTGGAACAGACAATCCACCACCGTCACGTCAAAAAGTCGTCTTCAATGGTCAGTTGACAACGGCATGGCACATTATTATATGAATTTATATTGTATGTGGCAAAATCTAAGGAATTTGGAGGAATGAATTTTTTTTGTTTTGTTTTTTAATAAAACGCATTTAGAAGGATTAAATAAGTTTCATTTCAAATTTCAATGGGTGCTAATTCAACGATTTAGTTTTCCCATGCATTGGAAATTCTTTCTTTCTCGTCCAGGGTATATATTTATGGGATACCGGTGTACTATTCAATGAATAGGGACGCCAGTGTTCAGCGCATCGGAAACGCGGTCCGAATGTCGGTTCGGATCCGATGTGAATGCAACTTAAACCGAACATGCGTATAACTCACGTAACTAAAACTGACTTACTGTTTGCGAACGCGCCTTTCCACTTTCGTGTTTCACCTCATACGGGCACCTTTGGCAGTTAAATCTGCCATCGTAGTAATCATTGTTGTGAAGACTATCAAGAACTATGTCTTTGCCGTTGATCGTTTGACCTTTCAACTGATGAAACCAGCTACCGGATGTTTTGTTGAAAGAATACTAGAAAAGAAGGATACACACTAAATATTAATTTATTAATAGAACCTAATATTAAACGATTTATTGTTTCTTGAAAATATTTACCAAATTGTTTTATAATTTTTATGATCTTATAAATTAATGCTTAACATTTGCCAAATTGTGTTGGTCCTTTAGGAACTAATTGCGATTAACTCAGACCCCGGATCAGTGGTGGCGCTAGAGGGGGATGGGGGCTATACCCCCCTCCCCCGTCGGGGAAGCATAGCCCTCCCCGTCGGGGAAGACGATATATTTTGTCGGGGAACAAACAAATAAAAAAAAAAATTTACATGTAATATTCGTTTAGCCACCATATTGTTTGTGTTAACTTTTCATCACAACAACAACAATAAAAATAACAATAACAATATTAATAATAATATTAATAATAATTCAATGAGACTAATTAAAAATAATTTGCGTTCTGTTATGACAAATGCTCATTTAGATATCCTCATAATGGTTGGAATACATCGTGATAGGTGAAGCAACCTCGACCATGACAGCGTGGTTGACAGATTTCATGCACAATTTCCAAAATATAGAATTTCACTTTAAAGAATGAGGATTTGAAAATAAATTAGATGGTTACATTGCATACTCTTTGTTTCTTGC